AATATTTTCCTGTTCCGCTTCGGCCCTCGGGCTGGGCGGGCCTTTTTTTTTTTGGTCCCTGCGCTCTTCTAACCCTAACCTTAAATACATTGGCATCAACATTACATCTGTCACTTATTAGGATGCACTACATCTATCTTGATGGCATCATTAGTAGTGGTCATTGTAAAGCTCCCTCTAGACAGCAAGTATATGGTGTGCAAGTGTGTATATGCATCAGGCTTGTGGCAAAGGCATTGGAAGCAGTAGTTTGGGCACTGCCTTACAATGCTCACTTAGTCAGTACAGCATCTAGATTGAATGTACATATCCCTTTCAAATGGCATGTGCTCATTATGTTCATGACATTTAAATCATTCAAAACAGGGACTATAAATACAGCCATAGTATAGTACTACACCCACAGACAGAAGCTATCCCTTTTTAAAGCCTGTACAATCAAGGCATACCAGTAAGCACTGCTTAGACAACTAGCAGACAAATACGTACCTAGACGACGCCGTTCGTAGAATAAATCCGTTCTGCTCGCGCCGAGATTCACGATCTTGGGACAGCCGTCTCGATCCTTCTCTAACCTAGTACACTCCGCGCAGTAATATGCGTCGGAGATTCCTGAAAGTTTGCGTCAGCACGATAGGAAAAGCTGAAAAGACACATGCGCATACCAGGCGAGCCACAGATAATGCACCTCCCGCCGTAAGTACCAAAGTTGCATTCGTCACATATGCGCACCAGTGTCTCGGGGCGTACGTATGAATCACACACGGGACTGAGACAAACGATGAGCTCCACATGACACAAACATCGGACATGAGAAATTCGGCGTACCATTTTCCATCGCACTTCTCGCACAGGCGACCGATGGCTATTTGAGAGAGCAGGCTGTCAAGATGGGTGAATTCAACAAAATGCACCTACTTACCGATACCTGGCTGGCGGCGACACATGATCAAATCTGCATGTAGGAGTGAGCAACATACTTACACGATGACAGGCATCTGAACGTACCAGGATGGTGCTTAGACATGGTGGTTGTAGGATGAGAAAGCGAATGCAGCTTGACCTGCACCGACGGGCGCGAGATATTGCGCGAGATATTCAAAACTGCTTTGTCAGCAAGCGGGGTCTTCCCCGACCAATGCCCGACCCCGCGTACAACTGGCTCCCACCATTACAATTGGCGAACCTATGCAACCGTAAGGAACGATGCAAATGCGTGTTATAGTCTAGTAGTACTTGGCATAATGAAAATAGCACAACGTTATCGGGTACAACAATGAAAAACAGGACGCTCGGAAGATTATGATAAGTGGAAACTCCCAACACCTTCATGCATCGCGGTCTGCAACTTCTCTCTCATTACACTTTTCGACGAGTAATCTGGAAGTTTGAGATAGTTAACGCATGTCATCACGCTCGGGAGATAGTCGTCTGCAGTCAGAGGTGCTTCGTGCGGCTTGCGCACGACGGTGAGTGCGGGGTTGAGACCACGGAAACCTGTGTGCGAACGGTCACAAAACGCTTTTGTAACTAGCAAAGAGAGCATACCGCCGATAGGTAACCTAGGGCTACCGGTGATAAATTGCAAGTAGCTCCTACGGGTCTGAGTGTCGAACTCAGCCATGATCTCCAGGAGATTGCGTATGGCACGACTTTCGACATTGAACCCATGATCAGCTTTCAAAGCTTCGCTTAAGGCTAGACAGTACATAGACGTTAGCAACCCAGCTTACAGCATCGTGCGCTTTACATACTTTCAAGACTCCAATCTTCATCCGCGTTTCCGAACAGCATTGCAAGTTCGTCGGTGGTAAATGCCTGAAGATCAGAAATTGGGAACACTTTTGAAAATCCCTCCCGGAACGCCTTCGCTTGAGCCTGTGCGCCTTTACCCAAGATGGCGTCGAGGACTTCGTGTATGTATTGGTCTATATTCTGCGATGTGACCGGCATGTCTCGGCCGCCAGGCTAGGCAAGTATTTGAATACTAGTGCGACAATCTGCGAGCAAGACTCACTCTTAACTCGATATCATAGCCCGGTAGGGTGAAATCCAAGGCAAGATCTTCGATTGAGACGTTCTCAATCATGCCAAGCTTTCGACGAATCTGGGAAGATATCAGCTCAGTGTTCACAGTTTGACTGGTGAACAAGGTTCTGCACCTTCTCATTCTGATTAATAGACGCAAAGCTTTGAACTTGTCCAAGAGAGGCCGCCAGATCTGGATCGACACGCTGCCAAAGGAGTAGGATCATATGTACGGCTGAGCGCAAACATAGGGAGACGTACTCTAAGATTGTCAATAGTCAAAGGCACCTCGTCGCCAAGAATGAGTTTGAGGAACACTTTGTTCAATGTCAAGTCGATGATGCGAGAATCCAACAGAGCCTTTGCCACAAATTGTCCAATGACGCGGAAGATATGAGTCCTTTTTCTTAAATACAGTTAGCATTCAAGTTCATTATCTCGCGTGAGAAAGCATGACTCACTGGCCCAATTCGTTGGTCACATTGCTTGAACTTATGGGAGCCGGGAACAAGCCTAGGGGGTGATGGACAAAAGGCGAGGACAAGAGCGGATCCGCATCTCTCCAGATTTTCAAGTCCTTCCTGGCGAACTCTTTGGATACAAGGGAGTAAAATTCGAGGGTCGGACCCAACCCGGTTCCCACTTCCTCAAAATACTCCACTTCCAGAATCGAAGATGACGATCCGTAGAGCTCAAAGACTTTAACGGCGGATTCCAAGATATGCTGACGGGATATCCGGACTTTCTGTCGTTGCAAGCGACCCAGGAAGCCAACGCCATCGTCTCGCCTAGAACTGTCTTGTCCTCGCGTCTGTTGACTCTGCCACTTCAATATCAACCGGGCGTACCCAAACGATGTGGACTGCAAGAAATTGTAGCGAGTGGCAAAGGGGAACAGGAATGGAAAGTGCTGTGGAAGATCCAATGCCCAATCGGGAAGACAAGAACTAGATATCAAGTGAGTCTAATGAAACTCTCAAACACTCGAGTCGACGCACCTCGCCACGATCATCGGTTCTTCCAACTGTCTTGTCAATTTAGCCGAGAGCTTATTGTTGACGAACGCAGACTCGGGTAAGACCACTCGGGATCCAGGAATCGTCGGTCTATCATTTGCTTGAGCGTTAAGCTTATACAAGACGCGAAGGAGGCGGAGAATCTTCCCATACGGGGCATCCTCTGGAACTGATGATAGCGTCGGGCCTGGTGAGCGGCTCCTAGATCCAATCTCATCGCCGCGAGCTTGAACAGAGGTCAGATTCAGAAGCTAGGTAGAATATACTACTTACATTCAGTCGTCGGAGCTGGGCCTAGGACCTTCTTGAACTTCACACTATAAATTCCCTGCCAAATCATGCTGGGCGCCAGTGTTGACCCAGACTTCTTGCGTAGCTCGTGCTGGTGGATAGCACCGTAGATAGTGAGATCCAAGGGAAGTTTGTGGTCGTCCATAAAAAACTCCAGGTGCCAATCGCTGGGCTTTGTTTTGACTGCAGCTGCATACGAACCGGCAGGTAATGCTGATGAACGTGAGATGGGCGCTGTATGGCGACTCTTTGCTGAAGCTGGTGTAGACACCCTCGTGCCATCAGGAGTTTGTGCCTCAACTTTTGAGCCATCTAAGGGTTTCAAAAATCATATGTGCATTGCTACTTCACTGAAATGAACAACAAACCTTCGTCAATTGAGACATTAATTGTCTTATCGGCGTCTGGGTTCTCCTGGTCGTCCTCATCATCCACAACCTAATGCAATGTTATACGCGCATTGAAATAACATCAGAGGGCATACCTCAGCGTCAACATCAATCTCATCATCAGTAAATTCTGCGGCATACTCTGCCTCGTGCATTGTGGTACCACTGGAGGTGCTATCTGGGGCCGAAGAAGAAGCAGGTACCGCGCCCGTTTCTGAAGTTGCAGCGGCCGTCGACGCTCCTTCGTGAGAGGTTTCACCTTGTGCTTCTGATGCCTGCACCGTCTCGGCCGTACCACTGTTCAAGGGAACAGATCTCTTTGCGCTCAGACGCATACTACGCCGACGAGCAACAGTAGACGACGCCTCGGCTTCCACAGCAGGACGTGAAGGAGCCTTAGACGGCTCTTCAGAGGATGGGGCAGAGGGAGGGGCTAGCCCAGACGCTGCCAGTGCAGCAAGCATGGTGGTAAATCGCGAGGTGCCCGGCAACGACCCCGACACCCTTGGTCGTAGGTAGTCGTGCAGCGCTTGGAAAGTTGCGATAGCATGAATGGATACAACGATATTGCTGATGCTCTTGGGAACATCCGAATCTTCCGCAGCAATAAGACGCAACCGCAGCTGTCGAGCCAGCAAGGACGGAGAACTTCTCTTCGAGTCTGCCAAGCGAATAATGTAAGTATATACCCTCATAATCTGGCACATCACCGACCATCTGAACTTTGCGCCACTGTGACGACTTCAAACGACTCCATTCTTGTCAAGCTCTCTTGCAGCTTCTTGACGAATACCGCCAACGGTGTTTGTCCATTGAGGGAGCCACTTCCTTTCAAGGTGATCAGAGCGGAGAACAACATATCTTGTCGGTGAGTTAGACTCAAACCTGCATACACAGCCAATAAGTAAGTTAGTGCATATCAAAAAAGGCGGAACTTACTAGACCAGCCTTCATCTGTTACGAAGCGGAGTAGACCATCTACCAGCCCGCTTTGCAGTAGCTCGAAGCTGGACACCGATGAATGAGGCGATGCGAAGAGCCCAGCCAACTCTCCAAGAGCACTAGTGAGATCCTTCTCCGATGTTAATTGATCGGCCAACACCTCCACCAATCGACGAAGTGAAGTGAATGTATCATTTGAGTCAGCGTCCTCTTCAGCTTCAAGATACTTGAAGCGGATCACTCGAGCGCGAAGGGTAATGGCATCGTCGGGTTCAAGGGACAAGGACGAGGATTTCTTGTACCCGGAAATGACACCTGCCATTGCGGCAGAAATCGGCACGGAGGAAGAAGTAAGGACCACTGCCGAAGGCAAGTCCAGGAGCTCCTTGTCTTTCTCCTTCTCATGTTTCGATTTTGATGAGACGCCACGGGACGCCAACATCTCAATCTCGTGAAGGACTCCCTCACGCCTGAAGACAGGCTTGTACTCTCCTGGGACCTTGCTCAGGAGGATGTCAACCAACTGCAGCGCGCCAATTACCAGAGTGGGATGATCCTTGGAAGAAAGAATTGAGGATGCAAAACTGGCGACAGGTACAAACTAAGGAATGTGGCTCAGAACCCAAAAAAACCTGAATGTGCGAAGAAAAATGGCATACAGTGAATACACGCTTGAGCTCTTCTCCGTCGAGAAAGCTGACTGCTTTCAAAAGGCCCGTTAAGGTCTTGACCCTCACTGGCATAATCACACTCGCAGCATATACATCAACCAAAATTGGCACTAGAAGATGGAGGAAGCGTCCAACCACGTCGGGCTTCGAGCGCAACAACTCTGTACGATCGACACCCGTCTCCTTCGCCGGAACCGGAGGCGGTGCGTCATCGCCATCTGGAGCGGACTGACTGTCATTTGCATTTGCGTCCATAGCCCCAGCGTCGTCTGGTACTAGAGCAGAGGCAGACAGCGGAGTTAGACCTTCTATAAGAGGTTCTGACACGTTGGCAGCTGCAACTACCGCTTGCCGCGCAGCCCGATGTCTCGCTCTGACAAGCCGTCCTAGTGCCTTCTCAGTATATGATTTGTGATCAAAGACGCCATCTGGAAATATGTAAGAAACACAGCGAAGTCAATTACATATCGAATATACCTCTCGGCAGTGGGGGCATAAGCTCGGAAACAAGGCTTAAAGCCTCTTCTACTTGATCCTTAGGCCGGTGTGCCAAGTTCTCCATGACAGTCATGTCAGCGAGGCCGCCTCCAAGGCCTTGACCACCTGCAGCATTGCCTTGCTCCTGTCCTCCTTCAGACACTGGCGGTAGAACGCCCGTCAAGATTTGATAGAGTGTGTCGACAATACCAGCCTCCAGCAATACAAGCGTAATCTTCGAACTTGCACGAGCGGCGGTCGCCAAGGCCCGTAGCAACAAAGTAAAAGTACTTGCTACAATTAATGGTGACCCACCTGACGGAAGGAGAAGAAGATTAACAGCTCTTATAAGCTCAATATCAACCAGGGCTTCCAACTTGTCAGAAGCGGCGCGGTAATATGAATCAATTACGCGGATAACGCAAAGGCAGGCAAATTCGACAAGGCGTTGATCGGCGTACCCAAGGCAGTTTCGAATAATTGGCCAGACAGCTTGGATCATGGGAAAATGCTCGGAGGCAACGTTACGACAGCAGTTCGACGCAGCTTGTAGAGCAGTTCTTTGCACGGCGATGGAAAAGAAATCCAAATAATTCAATAGAGCTGCCAAGCCACCTTCTCGGACAATTGAACTAGGGAATTCTTCTGATATCTTTTCCAGTGTCTGCGAAGATAGTTATGCAATTGAGACCCATAACACAGCTAATGAGAAACATTCAACTCACGCTGAGCGTCTGCTCGGCTAAATCAATATAGGAAATCTCAATTAGTTTGCTGCACAGAACAGGAATGGCACCGTGGTAGACAACAGTGTGCGCAACACCAGGTAAGGCCTCCATCAAATTGGCGAGGCATCTACAAGCAAGAACTTGCGCTTCCAAATTCTCGTCACCTTGATATGGATTGCCACCTGTACTCATAGCTAGCGCCGCAGCAAGAGCGGCATCTTCATCGGGCTCTTGCGCCTCATCGTCATCGCCTTCATCAGGGTCACCGCCAGTTCCGCCTAGGATTCGGACTAGTTCACGAGTAAATGATTCAACTTGGAAAGAACCTGCCAATGTGTCTTCTGTACTGATACTCAGAAGTTCACTCAGCTCCTGAAGCGTTACTAGCCGTGTCGTCGGATCCGCAGTGGATTTGATATTGTTGAGCATAGTCTTGAGACGGCTGGAGAGACCCATCATATATGATCCTATCTGGCGGTAATCTCCAAAGATTGCCATCGCCGTCGACTCGTCTAAGCCGCCAGTAGGTGCTTTTGGCAGCTCTATACTGTCCTCATCTTGCGGCTCATCGTCGTCATCGTCATCGTCGTCGTCGTCGTCGTCGTCCCCGCCATCGCCCTTGACCTCTTCGATACTTTCGTCCAATCCCCGGTCGTTTGCTTTGTCGCATTTTTCGTCGGATGGATTCAACTCATTCGGCAAGCACTCAGCGTCAACCATATCGATGCCTTCCCCTTCTCGTCTAGACGAGCTGGCTGCGGTAACCATCGTTTTGGTTTTTGCGGCCGACTTGCCTTTCCCAGACGATGACCTGCTGAATATGAACAGCCGCATATATCAATATTGAACGACACAAACCTGCTCTTCTTTGTCATTTCTGGGGTCTGAACTTCCACTCTGGATCGTAGAGAATATGCGCTTGTAGTGGTTCTCAGTCGCTTGGTCGAAGTGGACGATGAAGCGACGTTCTCCTCTCCTTCGGATTGACTCTCGGGAGCCGCACGCTTCTTCCCCTTAGTATCTCTTGTTGGTTCGTTAATGGTCAGTGAAGGGGTGGCAGGATAGGTGGAACGACGTGCTCTAGGGAGATTATAAACAAGGTGCTCAGGGCAGCGAATCAGAGTGACATACCTCTTGCTCGCTCGGGACGATTCTTCAGATACTTCCTTTCCCTTACCCTTGGCTGCAGAGGTCTCGCGGGCACGTTTGACCGGTGAAGATGAGGATGAAGCCTGCTCTGCGGAAGTAAGTGCTTTCTCTTTCTCCTTCTGTTTGGCGGCCTTCACCCTTGCGCTCGAGCGTAGGACTTTAAGTTCCGTGGAAGATCCCGGAGCGGAGAGGTGTTCTTCGGTATGCGACGTGGATGGGCTGCAGCTACTGGTCGCTTCTTGTTTTTGGGTGTAGTCCATTTAGTGCATGCAGCCGGCCATCGATTCCTTGAGTGTAGGCTATCGAATGGCGGTACAGTATAACGAGGTTTGTGGCGGCGTCAAGTCAGGATGATGAATCTGTTCGTCTCCGGACGCGCGCGTAGTATATTTGGCTCTCCGCAGACTCCGCCCGAACTGGAGTGGGAACCTTGGGTCTGACAATTGGCACCATCGACCTTGGATACAAAATACTACAACAAATCTACACCGCACAATTGGACTCTTCTTTCTACAGGATGCGCGTTAAAACGCATATTCTCTCAGAACCTCCTCTATACTCTCTACAAAGATGTTCACAATTGACTCCACCTGCTCTTTCGTGACATTGTAAGCCGGTGAGAGCATTAGGTGATCGCCTACGGTGCCTGAAATGTTCGCGCCTCCGGTCATACCCATGACGATGAGGGACTTTTCCAGGCAACGAGCCTGCACGATCATGGCGAACTGTTGCCCTTTAAAGTCCAGTCGCGCGGCTTCAGGACCAGTGAAGTCAAATTCAACGCCCCACCATGCACCGCCACCGCGTATGTCGAAGACGAAGGGTGCAGCGGCGGCATTCGGGGAATCCAGACGTTCGCGCAAGAGTGCACCCAGATATCCACCTTGCATCCGGGCATTTTCGAGCAGATTTTCCTCGTCGATGACTTTTTGAACTGCAAGCGAGGCGACGCATGCGAGAGGATGTGCCTGAATCCACGACGTCAGTGAATTAGATCTATACGTGTGAATGCTGCTAGTACTCACCTGATATGTATGGCCATGCTTCCAGAGGCCCGCATTGTCCCTAATGCCATCTGCTACTTTCTTCGACATCAGGACTGCGCCGATGGAAGCATATCTTAGGGTGATCAATCAGCTGTACTGCATTGAAAATGATGCCTCGGCTCACCCTCCCCCAAGGCCCTTCGCGACAGCCTGAATATCAGGAGCAACATTGTCACCAAAGCTCTCCCAGGCATGCAGAGTACCCAACCCTGATAGTCTCATCAGCTCGCCGGATAGCTAAGCCGAGGGAGTTACTTACGGCCCATTCCGCTCATTACCTCGTCAAGGATGAACAGCGCACCGTATTTATCGCACACAGACTTCATAGCCTTGAAATAACCCTTGGGAGCTGCAACAACACCAGTTGTAGCACCAACGACTGTCTCGGCGACGACTACACGAGATTTGTTGAACAAATGCAAGCTGCACATTCATATTCGTACTTACAGCCGATCACGGTATCCGGACCAAGTTCGAGGAACTTGTCCTCCAATTCTTGCTTCAGCCTTTCAACGTATTGTTCTTCTGTTTCATCTGGCTTTTGGAAGCGCTTTGCATATGCCGGTGAAACGTGGTGAAAGTTGTCATGGTTAAGAATATCTTCGTACGGACCTCGTCGAGTTGGATGAGAAGCTAGTGATAGTGTTGCGATTGAGTTGCCATGAAATGAGAGGTGTCGTGCAATGAAGTTCTTTCGTTGCGGCTGCTTAGTCTCGTAAAAGTACTTAAATACGATCGACTTCAGTGCATAATCTCTCGCAAAGCCCCAACAATGCTTACCTGACGTGCAAGCTTCATCACGCCCTCCATAGCTTCCGTTCCTATTCGGATAACCCAGAGAAAACTTCAGCCATCTGTTACGGCTGCAGAGATGACATTTGTACCTCCAGAGACGAACCCACACAGATCGAATGCTCCATTACTCTGCTCAATCAAGAGTTTGGCGAGCTCCTCGGCCGGTTCATTCGACAGTTGCATGTTGTAGACATCTTCAAATATCTCAGTCAATCAGCCATCTCGTAGACGAGCCATGGAGTCACGTACAAGACAGTTTATCAACTTGATCCTTCAACGCTTTCCTCACGGCAGGATGGCCATTTCCTATGCACGCGACTGCAGCTCCTCCGACCGCGTCCAGGACTGTTCGTCCATCTTCAAGCGTCAGATAGAGTCCTTCAGCGGAGGTGGCTACAGGAGGCCTCCATGGAGTCCGATGCAAAATTGATGTCGCTTTCAGCGGAGACCTCGCAAACGAGGCCGTACTCCCGGGCTGTTCAATCGATGCAGCCGGTGCCATGGTGGTTGGAGTCACGAAACGATCCTCAAGTTACGGACTGACCCTAGCACCACCTGATAACCTATCTCATAGCCGGAGTCCCTGCGGAGTGCAGCTAGATCTAAATAGCGATCGGATCCAGACGCCGCCTGGCCGCTGTCAGTTGGCATATGGTACAAGTGAGAAGCGAGAGAATGTATTGGGGATGATATGAATAAAACGTGTAGGACAGGTGGTGTGCCATACAACCTATTGCAAGGCACGCTGGCCTCGAGGCACTGCAGAATCTTGAGCAAAGAAGTGGAAGGTCAGCATGTCCCAAGCTGCAGGTCACGCGTAGCAGTTAATGTTACTTCCTGACTTCTCGAATTCACCACAGATTTCTTAAAACGCGCTGAACCTCACAGGCCTCAAATATCAACGCGTGCGCGAAATGCCAGCGGGGAAAGTTTTGCTATATTGTTATCTTGGACTGTCCGTATATTCAACTCGAAAGTAATAATGATCTAGTCCGACTCGTCATAGCGAAGGTCCAGAATCGGCAATATGCCTTGTCATTGAAGATCTCAGGGCTCAATGACAGGCTCTACATACTTGACCGCAAAAGAAGTCCGATGATACAATTAGGCACCATATTGACGGAATATTCGTGCATTTGCATCAGAAGCAGCACAATTGACAACACCCAACAGGCAGGCAGTGTTTACGGTAGATGTTTAAACCAGAAACTGGCGGGGATTGGCTTTCATCAGCTTTGAAAAGACTGGCAGTGTATGACACCAATACTTGATTCTCCTTCGAGTCTGTCCGGTCCCTCAGCTGAGACGCGATCTCGTACCTAGACGCATTGATTCGGACACGCGAGTATGAATGGGAAGCTCAACTCCAAAATAAGTATCTGCTGTCCCACCTTGCGTGATCCAAGGGAACTAAAGTTAGGGTCATCAGAATGTATAATTTGTTAAAATTAGCTAGGGTGAAGTGAACATTAACAGTAAGCGTCGCCACCCAGTTGCACTACTTTCGAGTAATCTTCCTCCTCCAACCGTGGCCTTGCGAAGAGGACTTTCCCGCGAGTCGATTGGCGAAGTTGCAATAGATGCCTGCTATATAAGCGCTGCAAGAAAGCTGGACATATGGTATTGAGTCAGTAAGTAGGCTCGGACCATTGATCTGTATTGGTTGGGAGATCTCGATCATTGATGCAGACAGATTACATAATCCATCCTGCATCCACTTGTCTATGATGCAGTCGCGCTTCTGACTTTACCGACATGGCGAGACGAAAGCGCCAGCTACTCGATGACGACTCTGATTCTTCCCCCGTATCTGACGCTGACGACTTTCACGACCCCAACTTCGACCACAACGACCCGGACGCGAGGGAAGAGCGAGCGTTATTCGAGAATCCATACAAACACAAGAGACGACGCAAGAACGACAAAGAAGACGCACTTTACGGGGTATTTGGTAGCGAAGATGAGGGCATAGACTCTGGAAGACGCATAGAAGGAGATAACAGACGACGAAAAGATTGGACGAAAGCTCCAGCTTTCGTGTCGGGGGAAAAGGTGGACATGGAGAAGACAACAGATTTGGATGCTGAGATGGAAGGTGTAGATAGTCTTGAAGAGGATGAGGGAAAATCTATGGATGGAGCTGGTGAGGAGAGCGACGATATTGCGGAAGAAGATGATGGCGAGGCGAATCAATCGGGGCGCTCACGACCGCCTTCCCCTCGGATACGCGAAGAGGAGGAGGAAGAGGCAGAAGAAAAGCCTAGGTTTGGAGGTTTAGGTGCGTCGAAATCAGCATCATTCGGGACGTTCTCTGGTCTCAGTAGAGGCGGAATCGGAATGTCCTCCAAGCCCTCTGAACCCTCGTCTCCTAGTGTCTCTCCCGCTCCCTCCTCATCAATTTCCGGGAATTTTCCTTCAACATTTGGCGCTTCTCGCACACAAAACTCGTTTCTCCGTAATGGTGGAAGTGGCTCCTCCACCCCAACACCTGTACTAAGTGCGCAAGAGAGACTCCACTTCAGCAAAATTGGGGGCTCGTTTGGTGCACGCATGCTAGCAAAGATGGGCTGGCAAGCTGGGACTGGTCTCGGTACTGCTGGCGAGGGTATTGTCACGCCAGTCGAGAGCAGATTACGTCCCAAGGGCATGGGTCTCGCGTTCAAGGGGTTCAAAGAGAAGACGGAGCAATCCAAAGCGGAGGCACGCCGGAGGGGAGAGGCCATCAGTGATGAGGAGGAGGATGAAAGAGCTGCGCGCAAAGGCCGTAGAGCGACGAAAGCACAGGAGGAGAGAGCAGAGGCGTGGAAGAAGCCGAAGAAAGTCAAGACGAAAGTCGAGCACAAGACATATGAGCAGATCATCGCTGAAGCGGGACAAGAGCCACCGCAAGCTGGACTCGGTCAGATCATAGACGCTACAGGTGCTACAGTACGTGCATCGGTCTTGTTATACTTTCAAGCTGCTTCTGACATTATTGGTGCAGCCACGCGAAGTTGCCTCGCTTGCGGACGTCTCATTGGCCTCTTGGACACCCACTGCGGACCCAATGAGATTACCTGAGGTTCGACACAATCTCCGCCTCATTACGGAAGCGTGTAAAAATGATCTAGATGGTCTTGCTCGTGAAGCCAGGAGCATTGAGGAGCGGAAGAAGTGGATTCTTATGGAAGATGCCCGGCTACGGAAGAGAGTGGAGGAAGAAGCTGCACGTAAGTCTCAAAGGTGCTATCTATGTGCATATCGCTTAAAACGCATTGTAATAGTCATTGAACGTCTTCAGCAAGTCCATTTGGTTGTTAATGACATCAATTCACAAGCGAGAGAGTTGTCGACGATGTATGAAGCATCGTTAGAACCCTTCTCCGCTCACTTCGAGAAACTGCTCGGACAGTTTTCCAAGGAGTTTGAACGATACCGGCTTGATGAAGTCATCGTCGCTGCTATTGCTCCAATTGTAAGTTTCCCAACACAGGTCCATTTACACTGATACTGATCCCACTGATAGATTCGTCGGATACTTGCACAGTGGCAGCCTTTGGAAGAACCTCTAACATTTACTCAAATATTCCGCTCGTGGAAAGGAGCTCTCAGAATGACTGTCCAAGATGACAGGCCTCAGGACCGCGTACAGGTTTATGGCTCAAGCACGATTATATCCACCGCGCCCATAGAGTATGTCGTTCTTTTATAAGTAGTCTTCATTCTCCTTACATCCTTACGTCCTGCACAGGGAAAAGCCTATGACACCCTACGAGAGCCTGCTATGGAACGCGTGGCTCCCAAAGGTGCGATCGTCTATCAACAATGAATGGTCGCCGGATGACCCACAACCAGTGGTTCGGCTATATGAAGCGTGGTCTAGTTACCTTCCACCCTTCATCAGGGATAACTTTTTCGATCAGCTCGTTTTGCCGAAGGTGGCGAAAGCGGTGGCTGACTGGAATCCACGAACTAGCGAGGTTACACTGCAAACCCTAGTGTTCCCTTGGTTGCCTCACATCGGTTTGCGGCTAGACGACTTGTTGAGCGATGCAAGAAGGAAAGTGAAGAGTCTTTTGAGAGGCTGGACTGTGGGCGAGGGGATGCCCAAAGATCTCAAAGTGTGGAAAGACGTGAGCATCCGTTGCGTAATTCATCCTTAGGTACTCACACGTCCTCCGCAGGTATTCGACGCTGGAGATTGGGACACAATGTTGCTGAAGTATGTGGTTCCTAAGTTGGGATCCAGACTACGCGGAGACTTCCGTGTCAACCCACGCAGTCAAGACATGAAGCCGCTACAAGACGTCCTGCTATGGGAAGACCTATTGCGCCCCACAATTCTTTCCCAGCTCCTCGAGACAGAGTTCTTCCCGAAATGGTTGGACGTCTTGCATATTTGGCTTATCCAGCCCGCTCCAAACTTTGAGGAAGTCGTGCAGTGGTACTCATTCTGGAAGGCTGCATTCTCAGAGAATGTGCAAAATTTGCCAGGTGTGGCGCAAGGTTTTACGCGGGGCCTGCAATTGATGAACAAGGCCATCGAACTGGGACCCGACGCACAAACGCGCCTCCCGCGACCCGATCACCGCGCTCCACCGTCTGGCACAACAACACCGAAGGCCAAGCAGCCGCCTGCGAAGGCGCGGCCTGCCCGAGCCCAAGAAATCACGTTCAAGTCGATTGTGGAAGAATACGCATCTGTGCACAACTTACTCTTTGTTCCTACTGGACGTGCACACGAGAAATCGAGGATGCCACTCTTTCGTGTTTCCCCGACTGCGGATGGTAAAGGCGGACTACTCGTATACATCCTCGATGACGCCGTCTGGGCACCGGATGGAGACGAGTACCGAGCCATATCGTTGGAGGTCATGGTTCGCAGAGCTACGGAGGAAAATTAGTTATGTGAGAACTGATTTGGATAGCTTATAACAACAGTAAAGATATATTTGTATTCTCATGGACGGTATGCAAGATGGGGAAATCCTGGCAAGAAAGAGGCTCTTAAGGGCGATAATTATGTGAACTACGCCCACGACTAGTCCATCATCTAACCATGGCTAAGGCAGTCTTATTCAATGGGCGCCCATGCTCAACGCCCCTTCGCAGATGATCCCAAGATACTCATCGCACAACGATATCTTGAAGCACTTCTTTCCTTCTTACCTTTGCCCTGACTTCACCATCCATAATTCCATGCAGAAAACTATACGCAGCATCAAGAGGAGCATTAGAATTTCCTCTTGCTATCATACGAAGTCTCACACGTACCACTCTCCAATCATTCTAAAGTGGCCATCCTCCATCTGTCGCAACACAAAAGGCATTTCCCCACCCACAAGCACACACGTCCAATCTCCAATGTCCGCCATGCGCGGAAAGATCCCTACATGCTCCTTGGTCGTCACAGCAAGATACAGACCATGGAACAAGCTCTGTACTTCCGGCATGGAGCGTAAGAGGGTATCGACCTCCTCGGCTGACGTTGGTGGGATGCGTACAGGCAAAAATACCGGTTCAAATTTTGGCAGACGAAGAAATGAGACAGAATGGGGGTCAATGAACGGCATTTGGCAGTCTGAGAGGAGAACTCTGTAGAATGCGGAACGAGACTCGGGTCTTCCACGGATGATGTAGGGCTCAAGGTCAGCGTCCGTACCTCCTCCGTCTGCACTCGCACTGGCTTCGGCCTCTGCTCGAAGTTTCTGAACAATTTGCGGGACAATTGGCATTCTATCATAGTTTTTGGAATACTCGTTCAAATAATAAACCATCAAGTCCGTGTCGATTTGCATGGTCGTATCAACTTGAACGCCAGGAGGAGTCATCTTGTCGTCCGAGAACCTGACTTTCACAATAGAGGGTGGGCCTGCGAGAACTGGGTCTCCCGTGGAGTATATCTTCCGAGGCTTCCTGGCCTTGCTTTCACCATTCTCGACAGAATCGACATTATCAGCCCATAGGTCTGGATTATTCACTGCCCACGAAAATTATTTGCATTGCACCACCGCCAATCTGGAACCCATGACGGTCCAACTACATCATGGACGACGGCCTGACCTGTGATCCACGAGAAATCTCTCAGGTCGCCGTGTCGTGCGTAGAGATAGGTGAATGTACCGCGGTATACATCGGCTACGGATTTGCGGTAGTCTGGCTGAATGTGCGTTAGGGTATGGGCGTCCGTAAGACCGGGGAGAGCATATATCTTATCGCGTGGGTCTGTGGATTTAAACAGATGCGTGATGTTCATCAGCGCTCCTAGATCTGCTGCTCTCAATGGCTCTTCTTTGCACCTTCGGAGGGCAGTGGTGATATCGAAGATGGACTTGCTCGTCGATGCCAGTCGCACGATCGTAGCGACGTCAGGAACAATAATATCAGTGTGCAAAGCCCACTGCCACTCGCGCTTGAGCTCACTCAGGAGCACGATCATAGATGACCAAGGAATAGAGTGAAGGCTAACAAAGATATGCGTGGTGCGCGCAAGGGCAATTTCTTGGATGATCCAGACGCGACGCCACCAAGGTCTCGTCAGCAACCGACCTACGGCTGTCCAGCGGTCCACGAGCGCGGGATCGTTGAGGAACTGTTCCCCTGTGCCAGTGCGTTTGGCGTTCTACCCAGAGGATGACTGGTTCATCATCACGTCGGATGTGCGAGGGAGCGGTATGGACGTTCTGTCGGATGGGAAAGGGGCGGGAATTTAGGTATACGAGCGATTGGTAGGGGCTGCCCCAGGTGTAGGAGAGCGCAGTGTAGGCGGGTGGAGAGGCCAGAGGGTACATAGAGAATGTACACCGTAGTTGATTCGATTTTGGCGATGGGTGTAGAGTAATAAGACGGAAGCAGAGGGAGGGCAGGGACGTATAGGCTGATGCAATCGGGTAGGGGGTCGGAATCATAGTGAGTCGATGATAGAATGGTGATGAGAGATGGAGAAGATAGAGTAAGGTACAAATTACAAGGTAGATCGCATGAGATGGTAAAGAGAGTTAATCGCACGTCCATAATTTGTATGCCTTAGAATCTCCGAATGCGCGGAAAGTTGGCTACATTGTTATAATTGCTTGCACAGTCAAAGGACAGCGCTCAGCAGCATTTCACCTACCAGAAGATTCATTGCATGTACTCACGTACCGAAATATGTTCATCCGTTATCCGACATTGCATGTATACCCCTCGCTCCTCTATTTAGCCATTACATCCCTCTACCCCGAGGCGGATTCCGGCTCTCGGCCCATTCGTCTCGCACTCAAGAGCTTGGGAAGGAAGCGATTCCAAAGACAATGACTTTACCGTACCGGAAAACACGCAGTGAGGTGAGATCAAGAGAGGGACGAGCCGAAAATGTATAGTATGGATGCAGATGAGTCTGACCTGACTCAACGGCCAGAAAATCGCGATGCGTCCATAAGCTGAAAACCGAGAGGTACAGCTAACCAACATCCTTCATCTTCTTTGCGTTGTCAGAGCTGCTTCATGTACAAGATGGTCCAGAGTGGGTGTTCCTATGCCACCGACTGTTAGAGTAATGGTAGCACAGGAACGTGACATCGAGAATGGCAAAAATAAGAAGTAAGTTGCAGGGCTAGCTTGAAGTGAAAAGTTACAGTTAACCACATTGTCGTCGTTGTATGGTTGTGAATGTAGTTGATATTTATTTTCGTTGAGATCTTGCACGGGCACATCGAGTGTATAAAACGCAACAGTCGGAAACTCCAGAGCCTGCGATAAGCGCCGTGGACGCCTCGCGATGAGGCAGTCACGTGGGATCGCTTGCCTTGCCCTGAAGTGCGCCCAGCGCGGCAAGTCCAATTTTGTAGCCAAGCACAGAAAGCTCGAGGCCGCCGCCGTCGCCAACGTCAAGCCCGCAAGAATATCAACATGGTCAGTAGAATGCTGTCAATTGATTCCAAGGCCCTATCTCCACGATTCTGTGCGGTCCAACTGAGGTACAGAGTGTTCCGGAGGGATGGATGCTGATGTTGACTTCCCGATGCACCTGACTCCTGGTTCTGGCGACCTACGAAATCTCTTGTTTGACTGGCTCGCGGCTGTTCGAATCTCTGAGCTGATGCATTTCTTTGCAATTTGTGCAGGCCCGAGGACCCAAAAAACACTTGAAGCGTCTCGCTGCACCCTCATCATGGATGCTTGACAAACTGAGCGGTACATACGTACGTTCGCAATTATCCTGCAGAGATGCAGCGATGGGGGTTCATGTTAGCATTCAATAGGCTCCTCGTCCTTCGCCTGGTCCCCACAAGCTCCGCGAATGTCTCCCTCTTACGATCTTCCTCCGCAATAGGCTGAAGTATGCTCTGACCGGCAAGGAAGTCACGTCGATCGTCATGCAGCGCTTGATTAAGGTCGACGCAAAGGTCAGGACTGACCCCACATATCCTGCTGGCTTCATGGGTGCGTTTCTTTACTGGCCGGAAGCAGACGACAATGGTGAATGTTCAGCTTTTTAGATGTCATCTCGATTGAGAAGTCCGGCGAGCACTTCCGTCTACTCTACGATGTCAAGGGTCGCTTTACCATCCACCGCATCACTCCTGAGGAAGCTACCTACAAGCTCCTTAAGGTCCGCAAAATGGCCATTGGTAACAAGGGTGTTCCATACATCGTCACACACGACGGCCGCACGATCCGCTATCCTGACCCTGCCATCAAGGTGAACGACACCGTGAAGTTCGATCTCGAACAGGGTAAGATCGTGGACTTTGTGAAATTTGACACCGGCAACATCGTCATGATCACCGGTGGTCGCAACATGGGTCGTGCTGGTGTGATTGTCCACCGTGAGAAGCACATTGGTGGATTCGATATCGTCCATGTGAAAGATTCTTTGGATCGGACATTCGCGACGCGGTATGTGGCAATAGTTGTGTCGTACGATGATGCCCGTATTGATGCTATTGACAGGATCTCTAACATTTTCGTTCTTGGAGAGGGCATCAAGCCATGGATATCCCTGCCTAAAGGCAAGGGTACCAAGCTTACCATCACCGAGGAGCGCGACGTCAGGAGGAGACAGCGGGCGGCTGAGCAGTAAACATCTTTCTTCCTTCCTGCTTTTCACTCGATGTCATATTATGCCATGCTTTGTATGCTACACGTACGACATGAAAATCTCTGCATGCACGCATAATATTATTGGGCACGCTCACGGAGTCTTGTGTTCTGACTGTATGATACACACTGAGTGCAATGCTTGAACTTACTGTCCTAACTCTCTATTTCCAAAAGCAACTTAAGTATTAGGTCAAGTTGATGTCAATGAACACCTACACTAGACAGCCTTGACTGAATGATACTGCATGATGATGCATGGGTGGGTCTCATGCCACAAAAATTCTCATCACAAAAGGCATACAATTATTCAGAGGCTTTTCATCAGACTAGTTTGTATAATTCTAAGACAATCTTGTATTATAGCCTGAAGCATGGACAAGCTATCTTTGTACAGGGTTGTAAGTATCTCCATACAGCTCACTCAGTGATCAGGGTTAGGGTTAGAAGAGCGAAGGGTCCAAAAAAAAGGCCCGCCCAGCCCGAGGGCCGAAGCGGAACAGGAAAATATT